TTCTAAATTATGCTGCTAGGAACATAAGGGTGCATACATTCTTTCTGATTGGTGTTTCTGGTTTCTTAGGATATATCCCTAGAAGTGGGGTCACTGGGTCAAAAGGCAGTACAATATTTAATTTTTTGAGGAAACTCCATACTGTTTTCCATAATGGCTGCACCTGTCTGCCTGTCCACCAGGAGTGGACTAGGGTTCCCCTTTCTCCACATCCTCCCCAGGACTTGTCATCTGTTGATTTGTTGATGGTAGCCATTCTGAGAGGTATGAGGTGATATCTCATTGTCATTTTAATTTGCATCTCTCTGATGATCAGTGACTTTGAGCATGTTTTCAAATGTCACTTGGCCAGCTATAAGTCCACTTTGGAGAAGTGTTTATTTAGGTCCTTTGCCCAATTTTTATTAGATTGTCTTTCTTTTGTTAAGTTGTATGATGTCTTTATATATTTTGGATACTAATCCTTTATCAGATGTATCATTGCCAAATATGTTCTCCCATGCATTGGGCTCCCTTTTCATTTTTTTGATGGTTTCTTTTGCTTTGCAAAAGCTTTCCATTTTGATATAGTCCCATTTGTTTATTTTCAATTAGTTTCCTTTGCCCTAGGAGATGTAAAAATATTGCAGATATATTGCTGCAAGAAATGTCTGAGATTTTTATGCCCATGGTTTCTTCTAGGATTTTTATGGTTTCACAACTTACATTTAACTATTCTATCAATTTTGAGTTTATTCTTTGGTATGGTATAAGTTGGGGATCTGGTTTCATTTTTTTCGTATATCTGCCCGATATTTCCAGCACCATTTATTAAATTAACTGTATCGATTCCATTGTAGGTTTTAGCTGCCTTTGTCAAATAATAATTGGGTGTAATGACATGGGTCAATTTCTGGAGAATCTCTTTGTTCCACTGATCTATTCTTGTGCCAGTAGCAGGCTGCTTTGATTATGACAGCTTTGTAGTCTATCTTGATATCTGGTATTGTCATTCCTCCAAGTTTCTTCTTTCTCAGAATTACAGTGGCTATTCGGAGTATTGTGGGGCGGGAGGGAGGGCGGTGTTGGTTTCCTATAAATTTTTTGAGTATTGCTTCTAGATCTGTGAAATATGCTATCTGTATTTTAATAGGGATTGCATTTAATCTGTAGATTGCTTTAGGTATTACAGATTGCCCTGAATTGCAGAACCAATATTTACACTTACATAAATATAGAATTCAAATGAATACATTAAATTATTTTTAATTGTAGTTTAGGCAACTTTATTTATTTATTTTTAACTTTATTGATTATGGTATCACATAATTATCCTCATCCCCCCATTCCCAGTCCAAACCCCTCTTTATATATGCCCCCAGTCCCCTGTTTTCCATTAATTTTCAATTCTCATTCCTTGATTCTCTAGTTGTGTTTGACAGAATACAGTTATATCCTCCTTAATGACTGGTCATGAATTATTTTCTTTTTTTTAAAATCTTTATTATTCATATTCTTACAGAAGTTCCTCTTTCCCCCCGCGCCACTCCGTTACTCTCCTCCACCAGGTTCCCACCCCCCACTCTGCCCTTTCCCCACCCATCATTGTCCTCATCCATAGGTGCACAGTTTATGTTCAGTCTCTTCCCACATCCCCATCTCCCCTTTTCTCCGAGAATCGTAAGTTCACTCCCCTTCCATACCTCTGATTCTATTATATTCACCAGTTAATATTATTCATCAGATGTTTTTTTTAATTTTTTGTTTTTAGATTCATTTGTTGATAGTTACATATTTGTTGTTCATAGTTTTTATCTTGATTTACTTTCTCTTCCAAAAGAACCCCCTTCAGCAATTGATATAATTCTGTTTGGTGGTGATGAACTCCGTTAGCTTTTTTTTATTGGTGAAGCTCTTTATCTGGCCTTAAATTCTGAGTGATAGCTTTGCTGGGTAGATTATTTTTTGGCTGTAGGTTCTTACTATTCATCACTTTGAATATTTCTTGCCATTCCCATCTGGCCTGCATGGTTTCTGTTGAGAAATCAGCTGACAATCATATAGGTGCTCCTTTATAGGTAACTACCTGCTTTGCTCTTGCTGTTTTTAATATTCTCTCTTTGTCTTTTGCTCTTGGAATTTTAATTATGATTTGTCTTGGTGTGGTCCTCTTTGGATTCCTTTTGTTTGGAGTTCTGTGCGCTTCCTGGACTTGTAAGTCTAATTCTTTCACCAGGTGGGGGAACTTTTCTGTCACTATTTCTTACAGTATGTTTTCGATATCTTGCTCTCTCTCATCTTCTGGGACCCCCATAATTCTGATGTTGGTTCGCTTAAAGTTGTCCCAGAGTTTTCTTATATTATCTTCAACTTTCTGGATTCTCTTGCCTTCTTGCTTCTGCGGAGGAGTGTCTTCTGGCTCTTTATGTTCCAAATCTTTGACTTGATTCTTGCGATCTTCCATTCTGTTTTTAGGGCTCTGTGTAATATTTTTTATTTCAATGTATTCTTTATTTCTTGTTGATCCCTTATTATTTCCAGTTGATCTCTTTTCATATCCTCATAGGTCTCGTTTATTTTATCGGCATTTTCTAGGAGATTCTTGAACAATCTTATAAGTGTGGTTTTGAACTCTATATCCAGTCGCTTTTTGTCCTCCATTTCTTTCATTTGTGATCTATTTCGTTGTCTCAGCATTTTCGCAGCTTCCTTGTTGGGGCGGAGTTTCAGGGTGGAGCCTACAGCCTTGGCTCCTGCAGCTCCTGAGTCTCTGTATTCCTCAGGGTCCTTCAGTACTCACTGCAAGCACCTCTGAGAGTGAGGTGTCCTCGAGTTTTGCCTGCTACCAAACAGTCTAGTCTCTCCCCCAATGGGGCTGGAACTGGGGTTCAGTTCAGTTGGAAGTGGGATTGGAGGTGGCGTTCACCGCTCACCCGGGTTTCCTTCTTTCAGCCCAATCTGGATGAGCCTGGGTCCCCAGAGTCTGGCGTAGAACTGGGGCTCAGCACAGTCCGGAGCTTTTGTCTCCTTCCCGCTAGGGCAATCTGGCAGCAGAGTCAACAGTCCATCCTCTGCACGCAATGTGTGCGCCTCCAGGGATCTGACTTTCACCGCCCCCCCCCCCCGGGGTTCTGCCTTTCAGCCCAGGCTCCCTCTGTGTGAGCCTGGGTCCCCAAGGTCTGGCCTAGAACTGGGGTTCAGAGCAGTCAGAACTGGGGCTCAGCACAGTCCAGAGCTTTTATCTCCTTCTGCTAGGGAACGCCAGCCAGGCACTCAGCCTCCCCCTCCTCTCCGACTCCATACTCTCAGCGCATGCCGCGTGTCTCCGTACCTTAGGCTTTTACAGCTCCTCTGCTCTTCCTTCTGGTTTTCTCCTTGCTTCTCGTTAAAGAATTTCCAGTCAGTCGACTTTCCTGTAGTTCTGGGTAATGTCCATTTTATATTTTAGTTGTATTTTATTGAAATTGTTGTGTCAGACTGCGGTTAGGTGTTTACCTGTGCAGCCATCCTGTATCCTCGGCATGAATTATCTTCTTTAGTGACATGTTAACATCTGAACTGAAATCTCATCCCTGCTAAAATAATGAGTAAACACTTAACTGATGTTTCTTTTTCTATATGTAGACATTGATAACTGTTCTTAGATTCTGTCAAATTTTGAATTCTTCTGGCTCTTAGAAACAATTGCATTTTTATTCCCTTTCCCCATTAAACATCAGGTGATTGAATGATAGAGTATCAAGAAATAACTAATTATGCTCACTGTCATGACTGTCGGATTTAATGAGTTACTGTCCCTTATAGAAATAGGAGTACTATTAATCATATCTTTTGTAGTCATATCCAGTGTGGCATATTTACTGCTCAAATTGATAAATTTTTATAATTTTCAAAGAGAGTGGAAGAGAGAGAGAAAGACAGACACATCTCAATTAGTTGCCTTATGAACGCACTCCGACTAGGGCCAGTAAAAGTTTTAGAAAGTAATGACTTTTATTTTTTTTAATATATTTTATTGACTTTGAACAGAGAGGAAGGGAGAGAGTTAGAAACATCGATGAGAGAGAGTCATCGATTAGCTGCCTCTTGCACACCCCCTACTGGGGATATGCCGGCAACCAAGGTACATGCCCTTGACCGGAATTGAATCCGGGACCCTTCAGTCCCCAAGCCGAAGCTCTATCCATTGAGACAAACTGGTTTTGGCGAAAGTAATGACTTTTAGAAACAAAGGGGGATTTTTTTTTTTGGGGGGGGGGTGTTCTAGGTATATTTCTCATTCTACCATTCTTCCTTCCCATATCCATAATTCCCCATCTGTCTATTGCTTTTCTGTGTGTGTGTGTGTGTGTGTGTGTGTGTGTGTGTGTTTTGTTCCTCTTATTTCTGCCTTGCTGAAAACCATTCTATAAATAAGCTTCATATTTTGATATAAAAATGATGATACTGAAAATTAGTGTGATTGTAGAAGGGGTTATACACATTGAAACTCATACAGTGTGAGAAAGTCATTACTTAAAATTATACTAGAACTACAAATGGAATTGGGGACAGATGGGTATTATCTTACTTAAACAATGGCATAAGGGCTAAATGAGCCCAAGAAACATTTATGCTTTTCTGCACCATAAGGAAGGAGTAAAGACAGTAAGAACCTTTCTGTTTACTTCACATCGGCAGGAATAAATGTGACAACACTGTTTTAGCTCTCCTATATTCAGAATAGCATTTCTGTACATTCCTTTTCTCTCTTAGTGGGTTTCTGTTGGAATGTGTTCAGATTTTTCTTATATTTAAAACCACCTTTTAATAGGTTAATTTTATTTCCAGTGCTCTGAACTGGAACACTCTTTTTGTTTCTGAGTACCAACAGAAAGAATGGTGTGATTAATTAATATTGGTAAAATGTAGGCGTGGAAGTCTGTCTTATAAAACATAAACTTTGTACTTTGTGTGTCTTTAATGTCATCTAAATCTAATGAGACTAAAGAATGTTCCCAACAGTTATGTTTCTCTTGCAGGGGAAGGAAAACCACCCATCTAAAGGAAGATGATCTCAAGATACACAGATTATTCTCATGTTGGATACTTCACTGTTAAAGTTCTCTCAATAAAGTTTTACAGCATTATGCAAAGCATCCTGCAAATCTCATGTGAATCGTATTCCCAAAACTTTCATGCTATTGAAAATTATATCATTTTCTGACATTATGCCAATTGAACTTTCATATGCAGATATACACTGAGTAGCCAGATTATTATGACCTCTGAATACATAATAATCTGGCCACTCAGCGTGTGTGTGTGTGTGTGTGTGTGTGTGTGTGTGTGTGTGTTTAATTTAGGTCCCAGTGCATGAATTCGTTCATGGGTGGGGTCCGGCAAGCCCAGCCTGGGGGAGGGGACATGGCCAGTTGGTGGGCCTGCATGCTGTTCGAACTTGAGGGGACAATTTGCATATTAGCCTTTTATTATATAGGATATACACTGAGTGGCCAGATATTATGTATTCAGAGATCATAATAATCTGGCCACTCAGTGTATTAGTACATTGGTATTCTTTCTAGCAACCTTGCTATGTATTCTTAATTTTTCTAAAACGTTATCTCTAGATAGCTTCTCAGTATCATAATGTCTAATCCAATTATTTTTTAATGCTGACAGATTTTTTTCTTTGCTATTTTAAGAATTATGCTACCTAAGCCTTAGCCAGTGCATAGAGCAACGGCCTGTGGAACAAAGAGTCCGGGTTTGATTCCAGTCAAGGGCTCATACCTTGGTTACAGGCTCCTCCCAGCTGGGCCCTGGTTAGGGCTCATGTAGGAGGCAACCAATCGATGTGTTTCTCTCACATGGATATTTCTCTCTGTCTTTCCCTCTTTCTTCTACTCTCTCTAAAAATGAACTGAAAAATATCCTCAGGTGAGGATTTTTAAAATATATATACTACGTTGGATGGTTTAGCTCAGTGGACACAGTGCGGGTACATGGATTTATGGGTCTTGGAATGGATTACACATCCAGGGTACTTATCAGATTGTAGGTTCTATCCCCTGCCCCAGTTGAGTCGCATGAGGCAGGTGGGCAATCAATCTCAATCAACCTCAATCTATCTATCTATCTCTCTCTCTCTCCCTCCCTCCCTCCCTCCCTCCCTCCCTCCCTCCCTCCCTTCCTCCTTACCCCTGTTTCTCACCATTCCAAAATGTCTAAAAAATAATGTAAGGAATATCCTCTGGTGAGAATTATTCAGATATGACTTTGTTTCCTTTTTGCTTTTTACACCTGACCCACCTTGTACTATGCTAATAGAATTGGGATTAGTTTGTTAAAACTGTCTTGTTCATAATGGGAAATAGAAAAAATTTTAACATTTTTCTATGTTCACTGTGAAGTAAAGGAAGTTCCATTCCAATCCTAATCTGGTAAGAATTTTAATCTTGAGTATTTGTGTGTGTGTGTGTGTGTGTGTGTGTGTGTGTGTATATATATATATATATATATATATATATGATTTTTTTACAGAGAGGAAGGGATAGAGCTAGAAATATCAATAAGAAAGAAACATCGATTAGCTGCTTCATATATATATACACACACATATATATATTTATATTTATACATTTATGTATGATTAACTGCTTCATGTATCTGTGTATATATATATATATAGATATATGAAGCAGCTATTTTATATATATATTGATTTATATATATATATAAATCAAATATATATTATTTTTTACAGAGAGGAAGGGGGAGAGAGAGCTAGAAACATTGATGAAACATTGATTAGCTGCCTCCTGCACACCCCCACTGGTGATGTACCCGCAACCAAGGTACATGCCCTTGACTGAAATCAAACCCAGAACCTTTCAGTCCGCAGGCTGACGGTCTATCCACTGAGCCAAACCATTTTCAGCTTAAATATATGTTGACTTCCATCAGACACTTGTGTATTTGTTGAATTGGTCATAGGATTTTTCCTTTCATTAATCTGTTAAAATTGTGAGTTATATAGATAACTTTCTATATTTAAAAAATCTTGTATTTCTTGGAGAGAGGCTGGTCATGATATATTATTCTGAATAAACTACATCTCAATACTTTCGTTAGGATGTTTACGAAGGATCTCATTAGGCCATTTTATTTCATTACTTTCTTTCTTGCACTTTGGCACAAAGGTACACTACCCACTTCAAATGAACTGATACATTAAAAAAAAAAATCTGGCCGACACCGATTTGGCTCAATGGATAGAGCGTCGGCTTGGGGACTGAAGGGTCCTGGGTTCGATTCCGGTCAAGGACATGTACCTTGGTTGCGGGCATATACCTAGTGGGGCGTGTCCAGGAGGCAGCTGATCGATGACTCTCTCTCATCGATGTTTGTAACTCTCTATCTCTCCCTTCCTCTCTGTACAAAATCAATAAAATATATTTTTTAAAAATCTATTCTCTGGCTGAAGCCGGTTTGGCTCAGTGGTAGAGCATCGGTCTGCGGACTAAAAGGTCCCAGGTTCGATTCCGGTCAGAGGCATGTACGTTGGTTGCGGGCACATCCCCGGTAGGGGGTGTGCAAGAGGCAGCTGGTCGACGTTTCTCTCTCATCGACGTCTCTGGCTCTCTATCTCTCTCCCTTCCTCTCTGTAAAAAATCAATAAAATATATATTTTTTTAAAAAATCTATTCTCTGGAATGCAAATCTCCTCAAGGCTGAGAACAGTGGAGTAATAGGCTTTCCCATGATCAGCTCTATGAGCGTCATCTCATTTTTCAGTATCAGAGCCTACTTACACCGGAGGAGCAGTAGGGGATGCTTCAATGTGCCCATCACTTCAGCTTTTGTGAGATGCTCATCTTCCCTGGTAGACACCTCTAATGATGCTGTCACTTGAAAGCTACCCACTCCTGGTTGTATGCTGATATCAATCTTGCCAAGCATGTCAAATACACAGCTGCTGGGCCACACGCCTTATTATTTTTGTTCACCCAGTAAGGTAAAGTCTTGGCTCTATTAATTTGCCTGGATAATTTTAATCTCCTACATGGTAATGAATGACCTGACCACATGCTCAGCTATGTACTTATAACAATAGCTCCATTTATTGAGATCTTTCATAATAGGAATAATAAGTCACATTTATAGAGCATGTACTATTCATTACCACCTCTCAGCTGGATTCCCTATATGTATCACCTAATTCAATCCTCACAATTAACTTGGAACAGTGTACACAAAATTAGTCATTGAATCCCATTCAAAACAGACTTAAGGATTCAACATCTAAGCTAGAAATCCTTCTTGTTTCTCAATGTAAAAACTTCAAAAATTGTTGTATATATAAAAATGAATGTTGTACATGACTACTGTAGTGATAGTAAGTAATCTTTGTTTAGCATGTTGTTGGTATGGTGATTGGAAAGTGGAGTACAGGATGCAGTACTACTGCACAGCAAGTGACAGAGGACTGAGCCTAAATGCTAGCACCGTTATCTAAGGGTATTGGTAAACCATACACTGACCGAATGACCACAGGTATGTTCAGAGAAACGGTTACTGTCTGGAGATGTATGCATGGTAACACAAGCAAAGAAGTTAAGAAAACAGAGGTGAATGTATTTAATTTATGGAAGTGAGCGAATTCCTTGTATGCATGACACAAAACCCAGAATCAGAAGGCAGTGATACGCGTAAACATGTTATTAAAATACGTTTCTGTAACGGCCATGTTTTTGAGACACGTACTCCAATAAGATTACACTTAGCGTGTCCAAAAAGTACCTCAAAGAATAAAAGATGGGGGTAGAGAAAAACCACATTTCAAGCCACTTTCTTGACCAGGGCTGAACTAGAGATTGCAATGCTCTGTGGCCTTGGCAGGGAAACCTCAACTCCTGTATGAGGTAAACAAGTGCGCCTCCATTGCTCATATATATGAATGCGCATTTCAGATCACGCCCACTGCTGCGCATGCCCAGAGCTGCACAGTTCAGACTGTTCATTCCCATATAAGGCCACTTCCGCACATGCGCCTTTGCCCCAAGTCAGTTGCTGCGCATGCGCCTTGCTGTCCCAGTTCGCTGAGGAGAAGTGTGCAGCAGGCGGCCGTGCTCCTTCCATTTTGATTCCTTCTCGCTGGTGCACATTCACCTGGTAGGTCCACAGAGCTGCCCTCCGGGACTTTAATTAATATGGCAGAGTGTGAGGAGAAGGCCCGCGGGTTTGGGTGGGGGCGGAGCTGCGGGGTCTGTGGCCTCCTAGGAGGAAGGGCCTCGAGGGCAGCGCCTCTGTCCTCTCAGGCATCATGGCCGCCATGGCCCTGGAAGTCCTGGGTGACCCGGACTAGGAGGGGCTGGGCCCAGCAGGGCAGGGGGCAGGTAAAGGGTTTGGGGGACAGTATTTGGGGTGTCTGGGCCATGGAGGGCCCTGGACCGGCCCACAGAACACAATCCCCGGTCCTCCTTGGGGCGCTGGGAAGCGGGGGGCGGGTGCGGCGAAGGAAGGGCCTAGACGCGGCCATGCTGAGGGCCTGCCCCGCTGAGGCCTGGATCTGGCCCCCTCCCGAGGTGTGCAGCGCCCCCAGCAGAGTCCCCAGGGAGACACGGCACAGCCTCTGGATGCACCTGGTCCCTGTGCCTCCTGGCAGTGCCAAGCAGCACAGCGGCATGGCGGCCCGGAGCCCTCCTGTGCGCTCCAGCTGCACTGACTGGAGGGAAATGGGCTGATCCCCGGAGCGGGCAAAGCGGTGCTCACTCAGTGTGGTGTAAGCAGTATTGTCCTGAGCGTCTTCCTCAAGGGGAAGCCATTGTGACAGCAGACGTGGTCTTTTCTCACCTGCTTGAGGCGATGGCAGGCAGCATGGCCATGACCTACGTGGCTTGGCAAGCCCCTGTATTTGGTATCACAGGAAAGCCTGTGCATTTGCATTTACTGACCCTGAGTCATGTTTTTAATGTGTTTTGAAACTCAAACTAAACTGTAAGTTTTAAAAATAATAGTTTTTGGCCTTTTTTTTTTTTTTTTTTTTTTTTTGCATTCATC